AGTTTATTGATCTTTCCCATTGCTCGTAAACGTCTGCTGATTGTTTCTTGTGATACATATAATGCTTCTGCTATTTGCCGTTGAGTTTGAGTTGGGTTATCATCCAATAAGTCCTGCAATTGCTCGTCTTCGCATTTTTGTGGTCTACCAGAGCGCTCACTGTCTTTCACATTGAAATCACCATTTTTAAATTGTCGAAACCATGTCTCACATGTTCTAATCGATGGAGCGTGTTCACCATATGTTTCTATCAGCAAACGATGACTTTCAATAGCCTTTTTCTTTTGATTAAATAAGAAAAGCAATGCGTGCCGCAAATGTTCTTTTTCAGGCACAAAACTCAACATGATCACTGAACGATAAAACAAAGACGCTAGCTTTTGGCGGACTCAACTTGTGTGTGTTTGTAGTTTTAAATGTTAGACGAACAAAATGACGTATGTGTCAAATTAATACGCTGCTTACTTTTCGCTGGCGCCATCTCTTAGTTAAACCGGAAAAAACTTATGCATATACCTGGTATATGGATTGATTTTATGTCCATCGCTGAGGTCAATATTTTCCAAAGGTTGCTTTTAGGATAATAGAAAAGTACTAGCAGATAGAGTGCTTTCAACTTTAGTAATCACTCAGCAACAGTCCTTTTCAGGATAGTTGCTGAAATTTACTTGGAGTTTCGACAGCTTTGAACAATTGGCAAGTTTCTCAGTAGCTCAGGAGACAGTGTTTAATTTCCTACAGTCCTTTTCAGGATAGTAGGAAACTTTTTTTTTGATAAGGGTATCTTTTCGAAAATTTTCAATTGAATTGCTGCAAAGTTTTCATACAAGTAATTATTTGTACCTAACTTTGGACATGGCAGACACCGCTGAAGGTATCGATAATATAGATAAGATACATTCTAAGAGATATTGTAACCCATTGGGTGGAGATAGACATGTTGGTAAAGACTTGAAGGAGGTTTCAAAAGCCCTTTTAGAAACTTATTCGAATGTACATCCACAATCAAAAATTTGTCACGACTGTAGAAAAACTTTTTATGAATCTCAAAAAAATCTTTCCCTTGAAAGTAACAACAGTAGAGAAGACATGTGATTTGATGACTCTTCGGAAGAACTTCCAAATAAAAAGATATGCGAATCCAGAGAAGAACAATTAGATGAGTTTTTGAATGGTTTTAAAGAGAAATTTCTAAATTTGCCTGAGAATGATCCGATGCAACAGTCTATTCTCACTATAGCCCCCGATTGTTGGAGTATTCGTAAAATTATGGAAGATTTCAAGTGTTCTTATAGGATGGCAAAACAATGTAAGGATTTGAAATATTCCGCTGGGGTATTAGCAGTACCACCATTCAAGAGGGGAAAAAATTTGGATGAAGAAACTGTTTCAAAAGTAATCGAGTTTTACGAAAAAGACGCAAACGGTCGCATTATGCCACATAAAAAAGAAAATGTCAAAGTTAAAATAGATCATGTTAAAGTGAGTAAACAAAAACATTTACTGCTGTACGATATTAAAGTTTTACATTCCATTTTTAAGGAAATATATCCACAGTATTCAATTGGATTATCTAAATTCGCTGAGTTGCGTCCAAAATGGTGTGTACTAGCTCGATGCTATAAATCTCAAACATTTGAGCAAAAATTCTGAAGTTCAATTACCTGAT